GATGTGAGGCCACTTGATTACAGTAAACTCATTGTCTTGTTGGTGAAACCAGTTTGAGATGATTAGAGCTTTGTGAGCTATCAGAAGATGGACACATTGTGGTCATAAAGGGATGGACATGTTCAGCAACAAAACTCATCTGGCATTTAAATGTTGATAACTTAGTAGTAACGGGATTAAAGTGTGCCAAGAAAATATCCCACACGCAATTACACCACCGACAGCAGCTGTTGATACAAAGCAAGATGATTCCATCTTTTAATGGGTTTTTTTTCCAAACCCAATCATCGGAATATTACAGTAGAAATTGAGACTTCCCAGACCTGGCAAAGTTTTTCCAATATTCTGTTGTCCACTTTTGGTGAGCCTGTATGAACTGTAGCATCCTTTCCTGTTTTTTTGATGTGGTGTGGTTTTCTGTTGCAGTAGCCAATGTGCTTCAAGGTTCAACATGTTGTGCATTCAGAGATGTACCGTAGTTGTATCGAGCTGTTATTTGAGTTCTGCTGTTTTCCTTTCAGCTCAAAGCAGTCTGGTCATTCTCCTTTGACCTCTGGCATGTACAAAGCATTTTCTTTCATAGAGGGCTGACGCTCACTGGCTATTTTCTCCTTTTCTGTCTGTAAATACTAGAGATGGTTGTGTGGGGAAAAAAGAGTAGCAGCTTCTGAAATACCAGCCTGTGTGCCACCAAACTCTACGGCACTTTCAAATTCACTTTCCCAACTTCATTAGATTGTCTTGATCACGCCTAAATGAAGTAAGAGTCAAAGTGACCAGTTTTTATTGTCCTGAACTGATTTTTGTTGGAATAGGGTTCTCACTTTTTGTCTTTTGTGTTTGTGTGAACAATATTTTTAGGCAAGATCTCCCTCCAGGCGTTCTCCAGTTATCTGTCTAGTGATGAGAATGGAGTCATTCCACCAGAAAAGCTGGATCAGTCTGAAGACATGAGCTTCCCGATATCTCACTATTTCATCAACTCATCGCATAATACCTACCTGACAGGTATGCATGCACAAGTCCTAAAAGCTCAGCAATAAATCCATTACTTTCCATCACCGGTCTGATCTAAATACATTCTCTTTGATAGGCATTGGCAACTTCTGGGGAGAGAACAAATGAGTTGATTTAAATGTGTGAGCGTGAAGAAAATAAAATATTTGACTGTTCAATTAACAACTGATGCAAACAGGAGAAAAGGTGAATTACCAAACTTTTTTATTAGTTGCGACTCAAATACGTCCAAAGTCTTCTTCAAGTTGACAGTTTAATTCTGCCAACAAAGCAGTGTATCGGGGGAACACACAGCTCTACTAAGAGAGCCATTATAGTTTTTCAGAGTGACACTGAGCTAAACAACATCCCAGAAAAATACCTCTGCTAAACAAAAAGTATGCATTTGTAGCAACAAAAGCACTTTAATGGCATGTAAATGAGCCAAATGCAGATCTCATCCAGATTTTTCCAAATAGGCTGAGCATTAATGAAGACATAAAGGATATGGGACACAAAGCGACTTAACACGCACATAACATTTTTCAGTTTCATCAAAATTATGCACAGACCTGAGGCCTGTTGCACCTGAGTCTAAAACGAGATGGCCTAAAAAGAGAGCTTGGAATCGTGGCCTGGTGGGATTCAAGTGTCTCCTGCTTCTTCTGCTTCTATAAGCATGCAAACTCCCTGCTTGTCCAACAGTTAGAAAAAATATTTGACGCAACTGGTTATCTATTACACAAGGAGACAAGGTGTGACACTAATAATCCATGCATTCTTTCACATCTTGGCTTATGTGACTATTCATATGATAAATGGACGAACAACCTTCGGGATCACATCCTAAGGGGCAATCCTGCTATGTTTTAAATACCTGGGACTCTTCATGAGTTGTTTTAGAACCAAAGAAGACTCTTGGATGAGAGATGAAACATTCTAACAAAGCAAAAAGAAGTAATTTCCTTCTTTTCAAGTCCTCAAGTCTACCATGACCTCAGTGACTGAGAGCCTACACAGACTTACTTCCAGGAAGTAGCTTTGTATTTAAATCTATAGCCTTGTTTTGCATCATTTGTTCTTGTCCTTGTGTTTCAGCGGGCCAGCTGGCCGGGAGCTCCTCAGTAGAAATGTACAGGCAAGTTCTGTTGGCCGGGTGCCGCTGTGTGGAATTGGATGTGTGGAAAGGACGGACTGCTGAGGAGGAACCTGTCATCACTCATGGATTCACCATGACTTCAGAAATCTCCTTTAAGGTGTGTCTAAGTGGGAATTAAATCATGCAAGTTAAGAGTGCACATTTAGGAAGCCATTTAAGCAAATGTTTGGTACAATTTTGTGTTTTCTCTCCAGAAGGTTCGTCTTAATCCTCTTGGTTGTTTGGTCTATATGCTCTTCTTTTCTCTCTTTGCTTCCCAGTCACCCAAAGCGGTCATAGCAGATGGCTGCCCCTCCCTCAAGCAGTTTCTGCTGGACATCTTCCTGTTTAAAGGATTTTTTTTCTCCACACTCTCGCCAAGCATTTGCTCATAGGGCAGTTATTGGGTTTTTTTGTGTATAATGTTGTAACGTGTACAATAATTGTCTCGGTGCTGTTGAAATATAAATATAAATAGATTTGGATTAAACCTTCTGAATTTGATTGCTCACATTGTTTTTGTGGCTGAATGAAAATGCCAAGCCATCTGCAATGATTCTGGACTGTTTAAGAGCTAATTGCAACCTCTTAGTCATCTGGCTTAGATCTTCTGCTTGTTAAAGAGGCCAACTTGTGTTTGTTTTGAATGGTCCTGATTGCTAGAATACATAAAATGTGTCAACCATTAACTTTTAAAAGCAGGCTAAAAACATTCATTTTCTCTGAGGGATTGTTGTACTTTTGGTGTGCATGATTATCATGGCCCTAAGAATTCACAATAACTATAGCATTGCAGACACCCCATATTTTATTCACAATACTACATAGAAAACTTGTCAAATGAAACTGACAAAATGTACTATTGTAAGAAGAGGCAGAATCATGTCTCAATAAAGTGGTAATCTGCACGTCCAGACCGTTGCTGGACTTTTGTCTCACATAGGATTCTAGATGTTCAACAGTCCTGACTCTGTAATTTTTGTTTCATGATGTGCCAAATGATTTCAGCCGTTCACGGTCTGGACTGTGGGATGGCCAGTTTAACAGGGCTCTTCTACTACGAAGCCATGCTGTTGTAATAGATTCATCACACTATCTTACTTAAATATGTAAGGTCTTCCCTAAAAAACCTGCCTTGAGTTTCTGAATATCTGCAAGCCACTTTGCAATGTGTTTTTGTCTTTCATTTTCTAGGAGGTGATTGAAGCTATTGCAGAATGCGCCTTCAAGACCTCACCCTTCCCTGTGATCCTGTCTTTTGAAAACCACGTGGACTCGTGAGAATCTCATTATTTATGTTTTTTAATATCCTGATTGAATCATAAGATCTTTTTGTTTATATCTGTAATTTTCCATTTACCCATCTATCAGGTTGAAGCAGCAGGCTAAAATGGCTGAATACTGTCGATCCATTTTTGGAGAAGCTCTTCTGATTGACCCTCTGGACAAATACCCTGTAAGAAATACTGACACGTGAAAGTGTTCAAAGTGTCTATTTTGTGATCAGACTGCAGTTTTAATTAATTTCTCTCTTTTCTGTCTTTTTTTTTCTCTTCTATTGTGTGTATTTGCAGCTGGAGCCAGGTGTCCCTCTGCCCAGTCCTCAGGAGCTGATGGGCAAAATTCTCATCAAGAACAAGAAATCCCACAAACCTTCCAATAACACAGACACAAAGAGACTGACGGACCAACCTGCCAATCAGAGCAATGAACCAGTGTCTCCTAGCAACAACACAGGAGGTAAGACACAAAGACAAAAGGACTTTTTTTCAGCCCAGAAATCCAAGTGAAATGTATTCAACTGCGACAGCCTTTGTATAAAAAAATACGACAGACAGTAAATTCTTCTGTGGTTTCAACAGCTGCACGGGGCTGGAGAAATGTTAAAAACCCAGGCATATTCCGGCTGTAACTTAAGGGCATCAGATGTCCAAAAAACGCTTTCACTGTGTGTCTTTCAAAGTGTTTTCACATTCAGCAGGCGTATGTCCTCACAAACATGAGTCATCGGGTAATCAGCATCATTGGGAAAAGGCGCAGTGGCTGGAGCTTCAGCACTGTCCCTGAGAAATTTGTTTTAAAGACCCAGGAAAAATAATGTGATTACTGCCCCAAATCATTTTGTAGTGTTTCGTTTTCTGAAAGATCACTATCAGAGGACAGCACATTTCTTTAAACCACAATTTCCATCATGACTTTTTGTAAAATCCTTTGGCCCAAAGTATTATCTACTCCACCTCATCAGGGATGCTTAATGAGCAGGACATCCCAGATGAGGTCTGAAGCTCTTTTCAGCAATTAAATAGCAGAGCAGAGGGAAATAAGGGAGCCTTATTGACATGTTTGACATGCAGATTCTGAAAACAGGACAGTAATTGAGAGCACAACCGTGAATGAAGATCAGACCAGCATCTTTACTGAAGTCCATGCTCATACAGTGGCCGTGACCCTTTAGACAACGACTGCCTGAGTGGGCTGAATAATCAGCACCAGAGAAGTTAAAGCACAGGGCTGTTTAAACTCCTTCCACTATCTGCTTGATTTTTTATTCTGCTCTTTGGTGCACAAATTTGCCATTGTCATGTGTTTCTCAGATGCTGTGCATGATTATCTATTATTAGTTTATTTGTGCACAGATTTTATTGTACAGCTCAGGAGAAAATCTGTTGTCCTTGCTCTCAGGCATATGCTAAATTGTTACCAAACAGTCATGTTAATGGATAATTCCTGGATGATTATATCAATCACACCTGATTAGCAGTTCACAGGCTAAGTTTCCTCCAGTGAATACTTTTATCAGTCTCTAGCTCTTTTCACCAGCTTTAGGACACATCTCATTAAACTGAAGTATTTATGTGAGGGTATTTTATTTGCATTCTGCTT